CTAAAATAGTCAATAATGTGTATGGCGACAAGGCCACTGCTTTGCTCCAAAGTAACAGTTGGAACATAAAAATATACTTAACATATAGTTGAAAGTAGCAAATGAGTAATATTTTTAGAATTGAAAAAAAGTGTTTGCTTGATCCTCTTCTTGGGCCTCACCTTTCTGTATGTTATAATCAACCACAGTTTGTCCATCTTCAAGTCACTTTCCGACGAAGATCAACCACTATTGATTCGGTGGAATTCCTTCATTGTTCTGGATCTTCATCTTCACATTGTCGATAGTGTCGCTGCTCTCAACCTCGAGAGTAATGGTCTTCCCTGTTAGGGTTTTCACGAAATCACGAGCTTTCCCGGCTCTGGTGTTCTTGGCTCTGCGGCTCCTCTGCGGTGTGGTACATCTTCTCGCGAGTTCTGCGGTTTCTCGTCTCGCGGGTACAAGTCGCGATTTCTGCTTGTCCCATGTGTTCTCCTTTTTAGCTTCGTCGATGCGATTTTTCCTGTGTTTTCTTCTTAACGCCACACCGGATGACTTCAGACAGATCGTATGTAGCTGCCCTTATGGGTGTCCACGTCTCAAGTACACATAAATCGTGCTTTTTCCCTCCGTTTGAGTGGACGGATGATATCAAGAAACCTGGTACGAAGAATGTGAAGCCTGCCATCTTTTTTACAGAAGCTGAAGGTATTCAACTTGCTTTCTCCTATCGTCTGAATTTGATTGAGAAATTTCTATATGGTCATCCCAAAAAAGAGCTTATTCACAAGGAATTTGAACCTATGCACCTTGTTGGGGAGTGAAAAATTGGACTATTAGATAGGTGACACGTTCTTATTCAAATTAATAATGAAGAAGATTACACACGCTTATTTGCTATAAGGATAATCCAGATAATCTGGATTGATAACAGAGCAATGAAAATTCTGAAATGGTATGTGGATTTTGACCCACAAACGGAACCACCAATCATTCCGGTTTGGACTCGCCTTCTTGGTCTGAAATTTCATTATTTTTCTAAAAAAATGTTGTATTCTATTATCTCAGCTTATGGTAAGTCACTCAATATGGACATCTTACTTTTAATCTTTCCCGTCCATCTGAAGGCAAAGTACTTATTGAAAGAGACATTACTTTTTTCGCTTCTGAGGAAATTTGGTTAGACACACAAAATCATTGATATTAACAGATGACAGAGATTGAGCATTTTTCTTCGTATTGTTCGCATTGTCGTATGTTCGACTGCTCCAATTCTCAATGCCATCATTTACATCCCCACCTCAGACCAAAAAAGCAAAGTGCTACGCTAGAGTCAGTGATTTCATCTCCTCTTGATCTGCTCCAAGTTATTGACACTATCAATTATCAAAAGGATACACCTGAAGAAGTCACTATTCCCGTAGGTAATATATCAACCATTCAGTCTCCACACATTGCTGTAGCTCCCCCGTCTTTGAAAATACTTCTGCTGCTTCACTATCGGCTCATCAGGTCCAGAAAGATGTAAATGCTACTCAGACTCAGGGGGATCATGATGTGCAATGTTCTACACCTGTCCGACCACCTTTGGACCAATTCATTAATCAGACGAGTCAATCATCGGATGAGGAATGACAGGTCCACACATCCAGGAGGAAGAAAAAGAATGAAGACATACTTGAGCTCATAAATCTAATGGATGATACTTAGTTTACTTCGGGTAATAGTACGTACCTTACCAATTTGTTAGCTGACTCCCTTCCGAGAACTAGAGATAGAGGAAGGACTAAAGTGGAACGTCCCTAGCACTTTTACGCCTGTTGGTAGCTTTTTGGTTTTTTATCTTTATGAATTTTTGCTTCTTTGGGTTTTCGTGTATTCTGTATTGTGTGAGTTGAGCCTTCTTTTAGGTCATCTCATACAGCCTATCTGTATCTTTTCCTCTTTAATATATATAGACCCAAAACGAGCCGAGCATGAACAAACAAACTTTTATTTGTGTTCGACTTGCTTATAAATGGGGCTCAATATATTTGTTTGCTTCCTACTCGCTTGCTTAACTAACGAATTGAACACGAGCTATTTGACGAGCTGAATACGAGTTGTTCGCGAACGATGAGCTTTTTTGATAGCTTTAAATACAACAATAACAACTACAACAAGCCTTTGTCCCACTAAGCGGGGTCAACTACATGAATCATTTATCTCAGTTGCGTCCTATTCAGTGTCATATTTTCATTCAAGTATAATATATTAAGATCTTTTTTTTAGGCAATATGCCTAAGTCTTTTTAGGTCTTCCTCTACCTTCCTTAACATAAGTCGGATCTAAAGTATCTATTCTTTTAACTGGATCATTATGATCAACGTTTAATGTGACCAAACCATCTAAGACAACTCTCTTTGATCTTGTCTGGAACTACACCAACTTATCACAACTATATTCATTTCGTATTTTGTCTCTAAATGTCAAGCCACTCATCCATCTAAGCATTCTCATTTCAACAACACTTTACTTTGTTTTATGCTTCTCTTTTAAAAGCCAACATTCTATGCTATAGAGCATTACAGTTCTCACTACCATCTTATAAGATTTTTCTCTAAGTCGAAGCAGTACTTTTCTATCACACAATAAGCCTGATGCATTCCTACACTTCAACAAACCAACTTGAATTCTACTAATTACATCCCCATCTATATGACCATTACTTTAAAAAAATGACCCGATATATCAAAAATATTCACACATTTTAATGATTTGATCACCCATAGTTATAACTATGTCACTAGAGCTACTACTAATAAAATTACATTCCATGTATTCTGTTTCAGATCTGCTCATACGATGGCCTTTAGATTCCAATGTAGACCTCTATAATTCAAGTTTTTATTGAACTCTTTATCTAATATTTTCCACAAGAAGTATATCATCAATGAAAAACATACACCAAGGTACATCTTTTTTGTAGATGTCCAATAAGAGCATCCATAACTAAAGCAAAAAGATACGACCTTAAAGTTGATCTCTGATTTAAACCAACTGGAATAGGAAAATACATGGTCAATCCTTCTGTTCAAACACAAGTAACAACTCTAGTATAAATACTTTCATATTTAAACCTTTATTCTCTAGAACTCTCGAAATGACTTTTCTTGGAACCTTATCGTAAATTTTTTCTAAATCAATAAAAATCATATGTAGATTCCTTTTTCTGTACTTCTCCATCAGACCTCTCAGTAAATGTATAGTTTTGTAGTAGACATGCCCGACATAAATCAAACTGAATTATGAGAATTCTTTGTATCACATCTTAACCTATGTTTAATTACGCTCTCCATAATTTTAAAGTATGATACATCAACTTAATTTCTCTATAATTTTCACAGCCTTGTGCTTCCCCTTTATTTTTAAAAGTGGGGACCAAAATACTCTTCCTCCACTCACACATCTTTTTAGTTTTTTAAATAATATTAAAGAGTTTAGTATGCCAAAAAACTCCTAAATCTCCTAAATATTTCTGCACTTCAATTGAGATATCATCATGTCCTCAATTTCTTTTTTACTAATGTGATGATAGAAATGAAACAATTTATATCTTGGTAATGGATTTGTCTAATCATTCATACAATATTGCATGAATTCTAATGACAAAATGTGAGCATGTGGTATGTGGGGTTTAATACTAATGATAAAATAATGAACTTAAATTTAGAAAGGCTTTCTCTGGGAAATTTTTAGAAATTAGATGCGAGAAGAGCATGACTATTTAAAATCTTGTAGTGCATTGAAATTAATGCCTACAAACTAAAACATTATAAATTTATGACACTAATCTAATTTTTAAATGTTTAAATTGATCGTATTTCATGAACCTCCCATCAATTTTTTGGATTCTTTTCTTACATCTTCTTCTTGTGAACTTGTATCTAACGCTACAAAAATATTATATACAATATGTTTTTGAAAATATTTTAGATGATGAGATTCTGTCCACACTTTTAATAGTGGATTTGAGTAATTTCTTGTGCATTGGCCTGCATATTTGTGATTGCTTAATGGTTTACTTTGAGGAAGCACAAAATTCATTTCTTGATTTGATTTATGAATGCTAAATGCTAAATTCATCATTGCTAAGCTTGTCCAATTGAGACAGATTTGATTAGAATATGAGAGTCCATAGTTATAAATGTTGCGTAAACGCAATGTTTTTTTATTAGTTTGTAGCTATTTTATTTTGTTTCTTTCCATTTCAGCTATAGAATAAATGATCTTTGTTAATTCTGTTGAGGCTTGAATTTTGAGGGATTGATTTGAATTTGAATTTGAATTGAGTTGATTTTGTGCCAACTATATCTACTTACACTAGCATGAGAAATTTTTGAATGGATGGTTTAAGGCATGCAATTATTCAACTTTGATTTAAAGAAAAAAAATTGTAGTTTAGTTTTTAATATCGTGTTTAGAAATTATATGAGTGATTCCTTCAAGTAGGTTATAGGCGCGGCTATTTAATTCCTAGGGATAAGTATTGAACCATATCTTGTACTTATGCAAGACCTGAAATTTCTTATATTTAGTGGACTATTTCCTTTATTGATTTTCTTTGGTTTTAGCTTGCTAGAGTTTTTAATTTTGTTCAAATTTGATACAATATGAAGCTTTATCACGGTATAAAATTTTAAATTGCTTGCTGATTTTACTTGGTTGTAGGTCTCGTTATTTTTCCTCAAATTTATTCGGTCATGGCATTATCATTTGAATTTACTTGTAATTTCCTTTTTACGCCTAAAGGAATTGAATTTTGGCATGTTTAGTGGGACTTTTCTTTATGAATCCTAATTTTCTTTGTGTGGTCAATATACATTGCAGTATTTATATTGCATTAAAAACTTGGATTGTAAACTATCTTGTTTTACGAAGCATTGAACCTCCTGCAGCAATATTGAATACTGTTGCTTCTTAAGATAATTTTTTCATCTAAGTTTAAGCATAATAGGTGGATTTATGTCCTTTTTTTGCAGGTTCAGGAGCACAATCATCCTCACATACTGCTGCTGCAAATTGGTAATACTTTCTGCAAACTTCCCGGTGGTCGTTTGAAACCTGGTGAGAATGGTGAGTTTCTGTTATGTAATCCTTAATTACATTGATCTAAATCTGCCTTCTTTTGTTTGTGAATATTTTAACATTGGGGCATTTATATACATAGCACACAATTGTTATGTATTAACATATCTCACGCATAAACTTTTATATTTACACAGGTAGTACTAAAATCTTTAATATCACATCAATAATAGCATTATTATCACTTTTTTAAAAGTGAAATACACATTTTCATGCTTAGGTTTAAAGCCCCAGAGCTTTGTGTGTAAAGATGAAAGTTTTTGTGTGAGATATGTAAATACATAAGAATTGTGTGCTATGTATGTAAATTTCCCTTTAACATTTTCAACCCTTCTGTTATTTGCTTCTTTTATAGAGGTTGAAGGCTTAAAACGAAAGCTGTGCAGCAAACTTGCTGTTAACTCACCTGCCTTTCAGCCAAATTGGCAGGTAGTTTTTAGTCCTACTATGTAGTTTAACGATTTAATGAGTACATATTAAATGAAGTAGGGATGGAAGTGTGAACTAACATTAAAATTTAATTTTTGTTTGTTGATTAATTTGTTGATCAATTCCTGCAGATTTTCAATTGGCATCCACTATGCAAGGATTGCATATTTCATTATTTATACCATCTTCGTCAGCTTGATGTGTTTTGTCTGTTCTGGCATACTATAATAGTAAATTTGAAATCCTATAAAAAAATTCATGTGCTAATGCTACTACCCATTTGTTTGAAGATTGAGTTTATCTTTGATGCGTGGTGTGCATGGAAAGCTTGCTGTTTTTTTTGGGCCTTGGATTTATTTCTGATACATTCTCATTTTGTGATGCCTAATAGAACATGCTGATGCAGATTTAGGTAAAAGTCAGTATGTTGGATTCAAGGTTATCTTCAGATCTATTTTTACTTCTTTTACGATCCGTTTGTGTTAGCAACATGGAAGCTTAAACTAAGGGCTTATTTGAGATAAATTTTGTTTTTTTTAAGTCTGTTTAATTTGTTTTTTAATTGTTTTCATTTTTTGTTTCTACAAACAAATTAACATATTTTTTTTAAACACCCAAAGTAACTATTAGGTGTTTTAAGTGTTTTTAAAAACAATAATATCGTAATTAAATATGTCAAACATGTTTGTTTCAAATCAAAATATAAGCAAAGCAAAATAACTAAAAAATTGAAAATAAAAAACAAAAGTGATCCTAAACAGCCCCAAAATTTTCTTTTGGGCCCGCTTAACTATTGCATTAATAGGAAAATTGTTTGTCGAGTACATAGCTTCATTGTGGTATTAAACCATTTGACACTTTCTTCAAAATGCAGTGCTTTTTTTAGCTTTATAGCTGTGTTTATTTTTATAAAAGTCATCGTTTCTTGTAGGTTGGTGAATGTGTTGCTATCTGGTGGAGACCGAACTTTGAAACAGTCATGTATCCGTATTGTCCTCCACACATCACCAAACCCAAGGTGATTAGAACAGTCATCGCTTTGTTATTCTTATGTTTTTCTTCTTTAGCTTTTCCCTGAGATTTTATTATTATTATTATTTTTTTTTCAGGAGTGCAAAAAGCTTTTCATTGTTCACTTGTCTGAAAGAGAATATTTTGCCGTTCCAAAAAACTTAAAATTACTTGCTGTTCCATTATTCGAGCTTTATGATAATGTTCAGGTACGAATTCCACTATTCCTTGTAGCGGGACTCTAATTTTTCTTCAAATAACTTGAATTTTCCTCTTTATATAGGAGCTCTTACATAAAATTGAAATGAAATTTACATGGTATTCTATTCTTCATATTTATACTTTTAACCCTTAAATTATCTTTGATGCACCTCGTTTTAATTTTTTTTTCAAAAGTACGAAGTAGTAATATGTTAGACCAACATTTATATTGTTTTTCGCCCCGCCGACTCTGCCAAATAATTTAAAGATTTATTTTAGGCGCAATGCTAAAGGGCATTTTAGTATTTTATTAGTTATTACGGGATATAAATATGGTTTAATATGTTAGGGTTATGCTATGCATGTATAATTGTTGTCTTGAATATTAGGGTTAGGATTTGAAAGTGGTCGTCTTTCTCTGGAATTGTACGTGTTTATCTTTTATGTATTGTGTGTTGTATTATTTAGGGTTGGTGAATTAAAATAATTTATTTTGCTCTATTTTTTATGGAAGTTCCTATCAAATTTGTATTCTAGCATTCCGATTATGGGAAGCATTTGGGAAGCTGAAGGGATTGCGGTTGTTGATGAAATTAGAAATTGTCGCGATTCAAGCTAGCTGGGAAGCAACGAAGGGATCGCGACATGCAGGATGTCACAATTTTTGATGGGACCACTCAAAAAAATTGTGCTTCGAGTTAGCTTGAAGCCAATGGCAGGATTACGGTGTACCATCGTGTCACTTTGTGACCTAACATCACGATACAATCGTGACTCTAGCCACAACAGGATTACAGGAGCCTTCATTTACCGAATCTGGCGTTACAGTTGCAATTGGAGGCAGCGGGAAGCCAACGTCTGGATCGCAACTTTCCTTAGTCGCAATTCGAGTGTTGGCAAGCCAATGACGGGATCACGGCATAAGGACGCATGTCTTCTTTTCCATGGAGAGGCAATATGAGGAATGATTCACGGTCCTGAAAGAAATGATGAAAAATGTTGCAAAGTTTCACTCAAACCCGTTGCCGACAGCCACAGGATCGAGCAACAGTATTTGGAGGAGATGTGAGCGGTAGCAATCTGAAGGATTTGTGCGACATCAAGGCAATATTGTTGCTTTCAATGGATCTGGAGTAGCAAGATTGAACAAAGGAATCAAGAGCACACTTGAGTGCAATACTTATAAGAAATAACACGACATCCGTACATTTAGAGCATACTAAAGAAGGTGGGATTGAGCGAAGGAGTTGGGATTTTAGCAGCAGCATCTGGAGGGAATTGCACAATGTCTAGAGGTTTGGAAAGAGCGACAACATACAAAACAAGATTGTGTGCGATTGGAGTTTAATAATATTGATTCAGTGGATTTTGGCTCGCAACAGGCAACCACGGTGAGTGGGACCCCAGTGCAAGGCTGCATCCAACCGTGCTAGTGCCATTTGCTGCAGCGGCCTTCTGGGTGGAAGGTGATTCAGGAGAATATGGGGTTGGCTGAGCTGATTATGGGATGAGCCAAACTTATGGAAGAAGGGAAGAGACACATTTTACGGAGTTGGTTGAGATTTCAAAACCGATCCAATCTCTCATGCAGCAATTGACAGTTTTTCAATTGCTATGCGGATTGCCGCTTCGAAGGGAACCAAGCATACCATAGTCTTGAGATTGGGGATTTCTCCTATCAGTGTGTACGCATATCGCTACCCTCTAGTACAAAAGGACGAGATTGAGATATTGATTTGAGAGATGCTGGAGGCCGAAATCATACAACTTAGGCTAAGCCCCTTCCTAGCCCAATCTTGCAAGTGAAGAAGAATGATGGGAGTTGGCGTTTCTGTGTGGATTATCAGGTAGTGAATAAGGAAATAGTAGACAAATTTCTCATACTCGGTCATTGATTGATTATTGTGTGGATTATCAGGTAGTGAATAAGGAAATAGTAGACAAATTTCTCATACTCGGTCATTGATTGACTATTAGACGAGTTATTTGGGGGTTGTAGTATTTTTCAAGATTGACTTGAAGTTTGGATACTAGTAGATTCAAATACGGTCGATAGATGTGCACAAGACTGTATTTTGAACTCATGAGAGTTACTACACATTTATGGTTAAATTTAAAGGATTTCCATAATTATGACGTCACATAGGAGCCATAAAACTTGATACAATAGCAGTTTTCTCATTTCCACCTTAAGGACAAGGTGTCTTATTGTGAGATGAATAATATTAGACCGACACATACAACGTTTTCAGCCGTGCCGAGCCTGCCTAATTTGAAGACTTATTTTAGGCGGAATGCTGAAGGGGCAATTTAATCTTTTGTAGTTATTGTTGTTGGGTATGAATATGGTTTCATAGGTTAAGGTTATGGTTTGCATGTGTGATTAATGTTTTGATTTTTAGAGTTAGGGTTTTGGAGAAATCGCCTACCTCTCTAATTATTGGTGTTTATCCTTTTATATATTCGAAGTTGTCTTGCTTTGATTAACTCTTTTGTTTCTACCCTAAGTTCCACGGAAAACTGTCTCGTTTCCTTAACATAATATTGTAATTTGCCACATCTGTTATAGGATAAGTTATAATTCTCAATATTCTTATCTTGTTATCAGCTCATCAAACAAATTGCGGGTCACTTGGATGATAGTTTATCACATGTTGATCATTAATAGTAGCCTTACTATATTATTTGTTACTGGAGTGGTTTTTTGATATAAACATAAATATGAAGAATTAGATATCACATGCAAATATAACAAGAAGCTGCCGAAATTTATATAAACCTTTTTTAAAATATTTCAAATGCCCAATTTTACTGCTTTGCTAACAAGGCAGCCCCCTTGCATTTTGACTCCTAAGGAGTTCGTGTTATTTTTCTTTTCATTGTAATCTTAAATTATAGATGCTCTCTGATGTGAAACAGTAAGCACCAATGCAAATGGTTACCTTCAAGTAGTTGTAGTTGTGATAATGTACGATTCAATGAGAATTTTTTTTCTCACCTGGACAAGGAGAAGGCTAGGGTTTTCCAGGAATTTTATATATGTTCTGATACCATGAAAACATAAACAAAGAGAATAAAATACTTTCTTCATACTTTGATGCTTTACAGGGTACATCTACTTATAGGAATACCACCTCCTAAATAAGGAAATTACCTAATTGCTTATATCTTAAATAAGAAAATTACCTAATTGCTTACAGCTATTTCCTATTATATTACATGGCTAATTATGCAAGATTTGTACAACTACACACTAATCTATAAAAGGAAAAAACATTAATGCTGTAAATCAAATTGGATTTTCAACACACCCATAAAGTAGATCATATTAAACTAATAAGGGGATGCTGCCATATTGAATTGAATGACATTGTTTAAAAAAAAATGAATATCAATGCAGACACATTTGCATGCTTTTCTAACATACTATAGAGGTTTCCTCTGAGCCGTAGCTGCCCCCTCTTTATGACTATTTTCATTCACCACATTTACCATATAGCAATCCATTGGATCTCCTGCACATGCATGAAATATTTGTGGCTAAGATGATGAGCCTCTGTCACTGTGTTCACTCCAATAATAAAAGTTAACAAGAATTCTATTATCAAATTGTCACTGTGCAAAATTGATATCGTCGACTTATTCATATGACTTAATCTTCTCTTTTACTATTTCTGACACTTTAGCACATGGAGCTACATCTTGTGTGAGTCGGATAAGTGTTCATTCCTATTACTCCCCTATAACTTCTCGTAATAGTGGCATTTCAATTATTTACATGTCTTGTCTTTGCTCCAATATCAACATGCATATCATGTCTCCACGTCGAATCCTTCCTATGACATGTTGCAGGCATTTCTTACAAAATCCTATTTGGAAAATTTTTTCGTGAAGTTTAGACAAATTTTACTGATTGCAAATAATTATGAAGAAATTAAAAAAATTTCGATTTAAAGATTGTTATCGGATAGAAGAACAGGTGGAGCAAGCAGTGACCCTCGTAGAAGAAGAAAGCTTGGTGGGAAGGGGGCGGCAAAGGCGGGGCGACAATGGCAGGGTGGCAAAAGCAGGAAATGGATGTGGTGACGGGGATGTCATTAGAGTGGTGGTGGTCGAAGGATGAGACGATGATGTAGGAATACAAGCAGGAGATGATGGCAGCTGAAGTAGCAGGCTGCAGCAATGACCGCTAATTGTGGCTGGGGATGCCTGAAAGGAAACATCTTGCATTAGAGGGAGATTTTGTTATATTCTAAAAAAATCCTTAAAAATCATAACTAATCTATAATTGTTGTCTTGTGTTATATAAATTTTCATGTTATCATAAAAATTGACGTTTTCTCAAACCATGAATGCAGAGGTACGGGCCAGTGATCTCCACAATCCCACAGCAGTTATCGAGGTTCCACTTCAACATGGTGCGTCAATGAAACCGGCAGAGCCAAGTCTCATCATCATTTGTTACTTCTCAGAGAGATTGGCTGTGTATTTTCATCATAGCGATGTAGCCTTTTAGAAAGTATGTGGCTTCCTCAAGGCTTGGAAGCTGATAGGAGTTCAGCATGTTTAGGATTTTAATAATTCTACTTGAAATATTTGCTTGCTGAAGTCTCTGTGTATCTTCAAACAAAGGTTTTGAAAATCGGATCGAGCCGGTTTGATTTGTACGACCGTGGGTGTGGTTTGATTGGTTAATTGTTGACACGGTTCTTGGTTTTGTGTGAGTTGCAATTTTTTTAAATATTATGTTTTAATTTTAAAATTTTTAAAAATTCATTTACCATATAAAGGTTAGATCAGCATACAAATGGCAAATTTTAAAAAACCGAAAAGGAAATATGTTAATGTATACAAAGCTTAAATTTCATTAACAATAATGCTTAAACTTTTTTATATTCATTTTTTTATTATTTTTAAATATTAAAGTATTTTATTATTTTATAATACATTATGCCTAAGTTTTTATTATATTTTATTTATTTGCAATTGTAAAACATATAATGTCATCTTATTTAAATGTAATAATATATTGCATTGTAGATTTTTGTTCACTTTCTGATTAAAATATTCATTAGGATGATTCTTTTCTTGAACATGGAGCACTAAAGGTACCATTAGAGATTTTAGCTATTTGGCTTCTAGAAAATTGCGGTCCATTGCAGTTTTTTTGAATAACTCGTTCATCGACAGCTTCACAATTTTTTCTTCAAACAAATACAACTGCTCGAAACAGACTCTTACTCTTCCTAGAATTTCCATCTCCCAAAATCAAATGCTTTTTGCGTTTGCGCTAATAATTGTTGTAGTTGTTTAAAAAAATACTCAAAATAATTAAAATTAATTTGAATGTTTTTGAAAGATAGCTTGAGTCATTTTAAAATTAAAATTTAAAAATAGAAGTAAACTTTTTAAATACATTAAATAAATATAGAAAATAAATTAAATAAATCTAAGCGTAGGGCAGCAAACGAATCGAGCCGAGTTGAGCAACGTTGTGTTCAAGCTTGAGCTTGTTTACAAAATTCAAGCTTGGGTAGGGCAGTAAATGAACCAGTGCACTAGATGAACAACTCGAACTCGACTTGATTAAGACTCTATCATGTTCGTTCAAACTAGTAAACAAACAAACTTGAATAATTTTTAAAAGGTCAAAGCTAAAAAGAACTGAATATGAACAGAGTCAAACTTAATCATTTATATTCACGAACAAACTCATTTGTAATCCATAAATTAATTAGTTAAATACTCAATATTAAGTTAGGTGATAACTCGTATTATATACGATATATTATTTAAATAAAATTTAATTATATATAATTTATTTAATTATAGATTTTATAGTAGTATATTATTATATCAATTATATTTTTAGTTTAGTTATTGATTATTAAAGTTTAGGCGTTATGTATGAAAATACAACACTTATGTGGTATGTATGAAGTGCAATCCTTAAAATTAACTTCTAAACTCTGCAGTCACAAAGTCTTTGTCATTAATCTCTCCCTCTAGCATCTTGTGTCTTTGCCTCTCCCTTCTCCCTATTTTGCCCGAAATCTATTATCTATGGCTTGCAAGTAGCGAGATCATGTCGTGCAAGGATATCTGAAACTCTATTCTTTGGTATATCTCCCATTTCCACTGTGCTCCTAATTCATTCCCAATTAACTTCATATTTCTTCAAATTACATATAATATATCCAAGATTTAAGGCAAAAACTGGAGAAACATGATTTAAGATCATGTATGGTTTAAAATTTTCATTTTCTATTTAGACACTATCTGAGATCTAAGGCAAAATGGAGAAATGAGATTTAAGATTCTTTAAGGTTTTATTTTGTCATTTTTGTTGATTGGTAGGATTTAGGTTAAATGATACTTAACGTTGCTAAATTTTTGCTACCACAACACCTAAATGAGGGATTTATGACAAAAAAAGAGAAGAAACATGATTCAAGTTCATGTAAGTTTTAAAGTTGTCATTTTTAGTTGTTTGGTAGGATTTAGGTTAAATTATGCTTAAATGTTACACAAATCCTTCTATTAAACATCCCCTAAGTGAGGGATTTAGGAAAAAATGTAGGAGAATCCGGATTTAAGACACTGTAGGGTTTAAAGTGGTCATTTTTGCTGTTAGTTAGGTTTAGGTTAAATCCTGCTTAAATGCTGCTCAAATATTATGGTATAAGAAATAATTGCTATGTATTTTAGTTTACTTTTCTATTTGGAGCAGAGACACACACACATATACACTCACACATTTTATTTTCAATTCATAACAAAGTTAAAAATTTATGATAGAGTTAATTATGCTTATGATAAAGTTAACTAATGGTTATTAAGATAATTTAAGTAGAAATTTATTATAAAAATATGTTTTATAGTTTAGACAGAAAAATGATACTACAATATAAATTGATTTTTTTTTACTTGCCAATTTAATTTGATCATAATCTTAACATTATCAATAGTCAGATCATGAATGATGCTGAAGCAGATGTTACAACTAATGGTGTTACAAGTGCCACCGAAGGAGTTACACAAGTTATTAATGATGACAATCATGAAAAACCTATTTGAAAAGAGATAAATAAAACTTCAGATGTTTTGAAAGGCTTCACTATAGATAAGTTAAAAATTGATGTTGAGAATGTGCGGTACAATCATTATAAGTTATATATGATTAAGAATATTGATGGTGCAACAACTCACTATAAAAGACTTATACAAAATTGTCCAAAAAAGTTGAGAAAAGGACAGCCTCATATCATTATGAAAAAACAACACGTACATTTGAATGCAGGAGTAGGGAGCAAACTTTGAAGTATGATTGCGCTAAAATACGAGAGATTACATCCTATATGATCATGGTTCATGACTTACCTTTCATTTTTACAGAGTATGAAGTATTCAACATATTAATGAACGGTGATAATCCATTGTATTTGCAGTTATGAGATTGAGAAGAAAAGAAAGAAAGAGTTTTCCAATTTAGCTGAAAGGGTAAGCATAATGATAGATTTATGAAAGTCAAGATAAAAAATTCAATATATAACTATCACTGGACATTTTGTTGATGAGGAGTGTAAGTTATCGAAGAGGGTCTTCAATTTTGTTGATGTTAATACACCACATAGCGCTCGCAACATTTATAATTCGATTTATAAGTGCTTGAAAGAGTGGAGAATTGAAAAAAAAGTCTTTAATGTGACTACAGACAATGCTTCATATAATGACAAAGTAGTGAGCATTTTACGATATATCATTTACTTTGAAAAAAGATTACTGTTAATTGAAAATTATTTTATGTGAGATGTTCTGCACACATATTAAATCTTATAGTGCAAGATGGACTTTCTATGATAAGCAATATTATCAAAATATGAGAGAAAGTGTGAAATTTATTTCATCTTCAAGTGCAAGATTACATGTATATAATGACATTTCAAAGCAACTACACTTCTGAACAAAAGGTTAATAAGTGATGGTTGCACTAGATGGAATGCAACATAGGCTATGTTTTATGTGCATTATATTTTAGAGAAGTGTTTTTTCACTATCAAGATAGAGAACCATTTTATACACTGCCCAAGCGAAGAAGATTGGGACAAAGCATAAGATGTTTGCTCTTTTTCCGTTTATTTGATATAATTACTAATATCATTTCAGGTAACATATATATGTTTCTTTTAGTTTTATGTCTTATTTTATATTATTTTATTTTTGTTTCTTATGCATGCTAATTTTATTTATAGGAACTGAGTATTCGAGTTCAAATTTCTTTCTTTCTGATCTTTGGAGAATCAAAGATGTGTTGGATGAAATTCTTGTTAATCGGGTTGACTATATGTGGTTGATGGACTTGAACATAAAAGCCAAGTTTGACAATAACTCGGGAGAATGTAATTTGCTAATTTCATTTGTCCCTGTACATGATCCAAGAAATAAAATAAAACAATGACCATGATAAGTTTCAAGCTTTATGAGTGCTGAAAGTTAAAATGTATAAGTTTCATATATTATCTATAATGACTTGTGAAATACATTCAGTACATATTACTATTGTTGCATCAAAATCAACTTTAAGTGCTAGTGAATAAGTTATAAATTCATATCACTCATCATTGGGTACAAGTACCGCTCAAGCTCTTATGTGTGGAAATGATTGCTTTAGAAATCATTATGGCCTTAAAAAGAAATCAATGGTATTACTCTTGATCATTAACTTGTATAAATTTTTATTGCATCACATGTATTTTACTTCTAATTACATGATAAAGAACATGTCAAAAGGAGTATTAAACAATGATGTTATAGTTTTTTGCAAGTAATGATAGATTGCAAGATTATTTTCTGCAAGCATTCAAGTGAAGTTCTTCTTTACTATTATCAGATTGGATGCATATTTTTTGGGGACGATAAGTTATTTTTTGACATCATTTCTCATTTTTGTTGTTGTTGGTAACCCATAAATGATGGTCAATATGATGAAAATGATTATAGATTTTTAGAAAGAACTACTACCAAGTTCTTTATTCATCATAAATGATAATCTTTGTATTCAATGTGAATGCATGTTATCAACATTAATGATCATATAGTTTGAGAAATTATATTATATATTTTCTCCTGCTGAAATTGATGCAACTTATTACTCATTGATTTTCTTAGTTGAAGTAAATGATAGTGTTTTAAGTGGGATAAAAATGGTGCAATCATTTTATGGATTTGATGTAAGGTTGCTTTACATAAAATGTTTCTTATCTAGGTAAACATTCATAATCTTAATTTTATTTTTATTTTTTTTACAAATTATTTAAGTTGTAATTGATTAATAAAATAATAAGTGAATGGT